GCAAAAGTCCATTTACCAGAGATAACAACACATCTATTTTAACCTTGATCAAATAAACCAACTTTATATTTCTTCCCTTTATTTTTAACAATCTTGATCCTAAATCCTGTCAAATAATGTCCTAGAACTTGATTTCTTATTTTTTCTTTGTTCCTTCTCAGAAAGTTCTCCAAAACTTTAACCAGTCTCTTTTGTAAATCCAGTATAAGAAAGTTATCCAGATTACTCTTTTGGTTTACTAAGATATCAGCCAGTTTCATTTGTATATCCAGTGCAGCATCTCCTTCCACATCATTCCCATGGCCTGTCATTTTTAAATCCACATTCAAATCAATTTCAGTTTTGTCCAATAAAACTTGTTCCTCTTTGATGACATCATTTACACATAGTCTATCTATAATGACAGACATTGTTAAATTTAACTTCTGAGTCCATTGTTCACAAATATCCCTCAATATGTCCAATGTTAAAGTATTTTGTTCCTTTTCTGTATTAGTAAGTCAAATTTAGGTGCTCTTCTCCTTTAATTGTAATCTTTAATTCCTTCTGGTTCCCTCTGGTGTCCAACCTTCAAAATCCCATCTTATCATATATTTTTATTTTATTCAAAACAACATTTTCTCATGGCAAGGATTCTTACAATTAGTTTCAAAATCTTATTTCAATTCCATCTGAACCCTTAGTCTGTTTATAACTTTCCAAAATTAATGTTCTAATCACCTTTTGCTGAGATAATTTTTTAAGTCCTTAAACTTATATAAAATTTATTTCGCTAAGGGTTGAAGGAAACTCACCCACTGTAGTAAAACTTGCCTTTATGAAGGTTCCGAATATCTGAAAAGCAGTTAACAAGCAGTTTCCAAAAGTGATTAAGAAAGGAAGCATGCAAACCGTGTGACATTTTGAAAGTGCTGAACTGCAGTTTGGGCTATGATGGTTCCCTTGTCTCCCAGAGCTCTAAACCCGCTGGAGTCTGCTATTTTGCAGTCTCCTTTCAAGGAGCACCTGTCTGGAGCATTTGTGGGTGATCCCAGTCTTCTCCTTGTCCGGAGAGGCATTGTGAAGAGTCGGCTCCACTCTCACTGGCTCTTCATTCTGCTGTGGTTGTTGGCTCTAGTCTTGTAGAGCTGTCTTCAGTTCACCATTTCTTCCCTAGAAGTCAGGTGGCACTGTTTAACTGAAGGAACCCGGAGTGTGCTAACTCTGCTGGCACATACTGGTCAAGCAGAAACCATGGGAGAAAGGCAGTCCCTCAAATCACTTGGCCCTATGCCATGTAGGGCTTTATAGGTCATAACCAGCATCTTGAATCCCACTTGGAAGCATACTGGCAACCAGTGCAGCTTTCACAGCAGGGGTATCACATGGCGTACCAAGGCATGCCCATCACTGCCCATGACACTGAATTCTGGCAGGTTATTGCTTCTGAGTGGTTTTCAAGAGCAGTTCCATGTACAGCACGTTGCTGTAATCAAGTTGTGAGGTGACTAGGGCATTTGTGTCTGTCTGAAGGGCCTCCCAATCCAGGAAGGGGTTTGACTGGCATACTAGATGGAGTTGTGCAAAGACACCTTGAGCATAGCTACCACCTAGTCTTTAAACAGGAGCTTTGAGTCCAAAAGACTCCCAGATTACTTTAAGTTAATTATCTCTCTGAAATATTGGAAAAAGGCAACCAAAAGTATATTCTTCATGATCCGTCTAATATATTTGTTTCAACTATCTTTCATTGTTCCAACTGCTGATGTTTTGTAGTTGTAAAGTTGTAGTTTGTAGAGACAAGTGATGACAGCACAAAAATGTAATGTAACAGTAATCATTGGTCAGAGCAGATGACAGCTGATGGGAGACCACTAGAAAACTGCAGGGCTGTGGATTAGACTGCAACTAATTAGTCAAATAAACACCCCAGAAGGTGGCAACAACAAACCAGTTGTGTACTGTATTGCTGCCAGGAAAATTACATGAAAGTGTTGCTGTAGTCACCAGGAGTCAGCTTTGACTCAAGAGAGACTTTACCTTAATAGGAAGAATAACATAAGAATAATCTATTCTGTTCATGTCAGCCATAAGCTGAAAGGAAGAGAATATCTACTCAGCTAGCCAAGAATTTGATTTAGGATGAGAACACAGCATGATAAAAAGACCCAATTTTCCTACTAAAACTGTACGACCTCAGTACCAGAGTAGCTACTGGATAGCAAAACTTCCATCTATCATTTCTGTTCTTAATATACCTGACTGCAATCCCAGTATACACCAGACTACAAGCTGAAGGAGAAAAGTAGAATTTGAAGCGAAGGTCATCTTGGAAATATATTGTGAAAAGCTACACATTTTGTCTACTTCAAAATATATGGGCCAGAAAAATATTCATGGAAACTGACTGTTCACATTCATTCAGTGCAGCTACTTTCCCGTTTTCATAAATATTATCCCCCAAACTGGAATCTCCCATTTCTGAGTGGTGCAATAACTCAGCAGCAAGAGAATTGGTGGCGACATGATGTTTAATTTTAATCCTTCATTAGGTCAGAGGGAAGATTCTGAGAAGGAGTCATCACCCCGAGAACCATCATATTCTACTCCAGAACTTTTCAAGCCAATAGACTTTATCATACTCCTTGGCAACCCCCACAATGCATTCCCCACCGCCTCCACATGAGATGGCAGCTATAGAGTCAACAGTGACCCTTTAGGGAACTCTGACTGCATGCACGAAATAAACTAAGCCATCTTGTGGCTATGTCTAGTATAATATCTGGATTGGATCATGGACCAAATTATTGTTGAAGAACCTTGACCACTACTGGGAAACATGCTTTGTCATAGGTTACTCACAAAATCTTGTTTCTGATTGTCATTCAAACAGAAACATTCAAACTTGTAAGAGATGATTCTTATACTGACAGGGAGGCTTGGAACCATTATGTAGACAAAACCCAAGGGCAGACTGCTCTGTCATCTTGAAAAGATCAGTGTTGTCCCCACTGAAACCAAATGCACAGGCGGAAGAAAGCCAAGGTTTAATGGCTCTTAATTGCCTATAAATAAGTTCCACTTCTGATAGCAAAATTACTTGCCAACATTTTTGTATTAGCACTTCAACCTTTTTTTTCTAATACTTATTAATCTGAGTCCTAGAGAATTGTTCCTTGTTGTTCTTCTCCAGTCATGATTGTTTCTAGGGAAACCTGATACCACTTATAATCTCTAGACCCAGAGATGGAAGAATAGAACGGCCACAAAAATTAGACCCTTCATTTACAGTGTAGCTACTGTTATTTTTTTTCACCCAAACTACTCATAGGGCTGCAGAAGAGCCAGATTGCCCCTATCCTGTCCACATATAATGTTGGCTGGCCCCTGGAAGGTAGTTCCTGGCCAGAAATGGCAGTTAACCAGCAAACTGTTGCTAGATGTTATGGTACTCAGTGGCTCACCCATGGTTAGTTTCAGACTTGACTTTTCTGGTAAAATGAACATACAAACAAATAATCCCTTAAAGGAGCCATGGTTAAGAGGACATCCAGGGCTAGATATGTTTCAAAAGGCCTCTGTATGATGCTGCAAAAGAAGCTCTCTTTGGTTGCATTACAGTCAGCATCTCTTCCTGTAAACTAAGTGAGGCTAGAATATCTTATAGATTGAGCTGCTCTGTGCTGACATGGATGCTTTGTTTGCCAAAGACATTGTGGCTACTACACCATCTAGTCATGTTGTTATGGATACCTCTCTGCTTGTACAATTGGTGGATATGGAAAATTTACTTGGAGAACTGCTGCTAAGATCTCTGCTTTTGAAATTGGCCAGAGCTAGGCTGGATATTTGCAGTCCAACACATTTCAAATGTACTATATAAACTGATACAGAACTTCACATGTGGATACAAGTCTACAAATATAATTACTTGCATTGTCTTTTTTTTTTTTAACATGCACTGGGTCCCTAATATGGGAAAGTGGATTGCTGTTCTTAGGGAGTTATTTCTTCATTCAAATGCTTCCTCTCTGATGGATTACCAATAAACTTTTTTAAAAAAGCAAAACTGAGGGTACTGCAGACCATGGATTTGGTTAAGGTTGCTATTGGCCTTATTTATACAGGATACAACCTTCAAGTGAAATGCATTATTTTGACTTGGAGGTAAGGAGAAGCAGGAAATTTATATATTCTCAGAGCCAGTGTTTGCTGGTCCCAATGGTAGTCAGGTAGACTATCAATTAATTTCCTAATAATGTAATTCCCTATATAGTTTGATTTCCTACAGAGGATTAGAATTTCCCATAGGAAGACTAACTTAATACTGCATTGAGATACTGAGCTATAATAATAATATGGAATGTCTCTCCACTTGTATACATTCATTTATTTTTGATAAGCTTTCTCCAAATCTCCATAACAGAAGGAAGATGGCTTCATTGCTTTGAGTCTGTCATGGATTCTGATAAAAGTAAGTTTCAAGCTATTTTCTCACAGAAGGATGATCAGTACTTTATTTAAGGCTCTCATGGCCAAATGACCCAATCTTCTACCATCACCTCTGATGTCTAAGCACTCAGATAAACACTCTGATTACTTAATGTAAACATCTGCACCATCACTTTCCTCTTGTCCTGCATGGCTACTTAATAATTGTCATAGTTCTTCTAGGATTAAGTGCAACAAAGCAGCTGGTACTTCCAGTTAACAATCAGACTTCAAAACCATAATTATTTGTAGGTTTCACATTTCAGGTAATACTAACTAGAAATGATGTGTGGCATTTTGCAGATTACTCTTAACTGCAAAAGAGCTGCCAACTGTAGCTAAGGAGTGTACTAAGTAATGAAGCAGCATGCATACTCATGTGAACCATTTGGAATGGGTTTATATGTTGTACCAACATGTCTGATGAGTCCCGTCCCTCTGACAGAGTAGAGTTGAAAAATGTGAGCTCTTCAACCGATTAGATAGCTTGTCCAGGAACAGAGCTCACAACATTGCAGGGCTTCAATTGGTTTTAGTACTTCATTGTCTTACCACCTGCAAGGAACATCTGAAACTTACACAGTTCAACAGCCCTCCCCCTCAAATACACATGAAAACTAATAATCTATACCCAGGGGCAGGTAATAGTTACTTCAAATTAAAGGGAAAAAGGAGTTTTTGAGTGCCCAAAGGAATTAGTTTAATATCTGCTTGCAATTCTTCAAAGGAGCTGCATCTTTTTCTGAGATAGCACATCTGTCCATTAGCCACACAGTCTCAGGACAAGACATGTTGAAAGTATATTGTGGTTACACTCATAAAATGACAGCTATGGGCTGTGGCCAGCTGCAAAATAACTTTCTTTTGCAAGCAAACTTTTTCTTATTGCCCCTCTGGCCCCCAGGATGGTCTACCATCCCAGCTTGAGTTTGGTGGGTTTTTCTTTTCCTTTTTTGGGATCCCTCCCTGAAAACTACTGGACTGTAGGCACTGTCAGCCTGGTGAGGTAGTCCAGTCAAGAAGCACACCCAAAAGAACTAGCTCTAACTTTATTGTAAGGTTACATTAACAGAATTTTGCAAGTCTGACAGTACACCTCTGCCCCCCTCACCTTTACAGTCCAAGAAACTAGGGAGGGTCCCTTCTGAGATACTTGCCACACCTACGTTCTTTGTGCAGGCTCAGCTGCCACTTGGCTGACCATTTTCTAGTCTGCAGCTCTTCCTCCTGTCTCCCAAGGTCATTCGCATAAATCATTACAGTCATCATCATCATCATCATCA